GGGGGGTGCAAGAGTGGAAGAGGGTGGTTCGGGGGAGGAAGAAGCAGAAGGAAAAGAGAAAAGAAAAGGGGACCCGGAAGGGCGACTCATCTTCCGCGAATCGTTCGGGCCACTGACTCGTCGCTTGTTGCATAACGATTTCATCTCGTTCGAGTGCATCCTCGAGGAGGAGGAGGAGGAGTAGGAGAAAGAGTAGTCGCAACTTGAGAACCACTGGAGCGTGTACCGGTTGTTCCACTCGTGGAATGCGGACTAGCTCCTCGCGTACCTATACTACCTATACGTGTACCAGTCCCCCTGTCCGTGTCCCCGTGTACACGCCGCGTCCTATTCATATTCCTTTTACCTATACGCGTGCATCCGTGCATCTTGTACGCGTGTGCGAAGGGAGCGTGTATATCGCCTCACTTGCTCTCACGAATTCTCATCCTTCGTGTGCCAGTCCGTCGCGAATTCACGATCATTCCCATTAGGGTGGGTATCGTTTGTAGGTCCATTGTATTCGATCGTGCTGTAACGTATAAGAGCGGGGTGCAATCGATTTTCCACCGTTGTTTTCTCGAACATCGCGCGAATCGATACGGCGCGACAACGTATGTCGGAGCGCGAATAGGTTCGAAGCCTGCGAATATACATACCTAGATACGTTCGCGGTAGGTCTCGAGAAAAGGGAGAGACAGAAAGAGAGAGAGAGAGAGAGAGAGAGAGAGAGATGGGTCGGTTAAAAATTTACGAGTTCCCGTTCGGCGGGTATAAACCGCCGCGTATCAAAGGGTAGCCATACAGGCTGCTCGCACGATTACGTTTATAAACAATCGAAGGAAGTCGTAGCGCATAAATATGCAGAGAGTCGGCGGTCGGTTGGCCGCGAGCCTCGCGGACCCACTGTATGCAAATTTGGTTCACCGATTGTGAAGTTACTTTGCATAAAAGCACGCGGTATATTTGTTTTTCCTTTTCTTTTTTTCTGCTTCTCTTTTCTAAAACAACGATGGAGAATATAGGAGGGATCGAAGGAAAGGAGGCAGGAAGGAAGGAAGGGAAAGGGTTAATGGAGAAGTGGGTGGGGGGTGGAAGGAAAGGTTCGCGGACGTATCGAGAATTACCAGGTGCTGCTTCCACACTGTGGACAGGGCATAAAACGGCAAATTGAAGATCCGTACGGACGCTTTCCGTCGCACTTTAACGTCCGGACATCAAAGTCCAAACGAGCGGATGGAACCACAGATTCGAGCCGTGTCGTTTTCTTTGAGCTTTCCGACACGGTGCGCACCTGTCTGCCGTGTCGACAGCAGCTGCGCCTGTTTTCGGGTTTATCGAAATTTAAAGGATTGTTCAACGAGTAACCGTCGGAGGATCCGGTTGAAACTAGTCGACGGCGACTCAACGGTGAATCGTAATCAAATGTGTCTTCTCGTTTGTAACGCGCCTGAACGCGTTTCTTGTTACAGAATATTGTCGCCAGGCGATCGAGCGGAATAAGGTAACCTAGATCGCCGCTCCGCGAGGAGGAATCGGGTTGAGAATGGCGGCGGGAACGTGTCGATCGGCCTGAAGAGAAATTCGGAAAGACGCAAGGTGAGTTATACCCACTCTCGATTTTACATCGAGTATCAATCGTAACACGAGCAAAAAAGGGTGGAATCGCGTGGAATCGGAGCGTCTACCCTTTCGTGACTTTACGCTTTGTTCGCACGATTGAAAACTCGGTGACAAACGTAGTCTCTTTTCGGTGATCGATCGAGAAAATGGTGCACCGGTGAGAAAAGCTCGAAATGTAAAAAATTCCCAACCCTTCGATGTTACGTTTTCCTCGAATGTCAAGAGCGCGAGGCGCGTTTTCGACCAGCTGTAGCGGTGCCTGCCGCCTTACCCGAAGCTCCGTTTTCCGAAGTTTGGGCTTGTGACTATCGAGCGACGAGGATCAGGGACAAGCCCTTCGCGGTCCGCGCGAGCTCTGTTAACTTACGCGTCACCCGTTATCTGACCGCGCTTATTATGCGTGTTATCGTCCCCCTCCCTCCGACCCATTTCGACGAGGGAAAAGCCATAAATTTAATAGCCTCGGGTCTAGCGGCCTCGATTCTCATTCCACAATCCCCCTGTCACCGCCGGCCCTGTACCCAGTCCTACGCCCCCCGGTCCCCCCTTCCTGCCTTTCTGGTCCGTGAAAACACGACAAAGTCAAGCGTTTTCTTATACATATATAATGTTCTGCAAACGACACGAATGGTAATTCGCGTACAACATTTCTCTCGAGTCGGAAGCAACAGTGTCGGGTAATCCTTAAAAACGATTCGTCGGTAGTCGTCCTATTGGTTCGACGATTCGATCTCGCTTCGCTCTCGACGTTGACGTGCGTCGATATATGTATTTTCCACAGTTTCCACGATACACTTTTACACTCGTCTCTCTCTCTCTCTCTCTCTCTCTCTCTCTCTCTCTCTCTCTCTCTCTCTCTCTTTCTTACCAATCTCTTATCTGGTTGGAACTGTTCGAGCGATCAATCCGTCCGAGATCGTTACGTCCCCGAAGGGGGAAAAGCATAGGAATAGCCCCAGCGGAGAGTCCGTTCGAGTCGCGAGTGGTAATTATTCACTCGCATCACGTTTTCGTTTAGATAAAGACTACACCATATAGGCGTGTGTTACGTTAAAATCGTTCCTTGCTCGCTTTTCACCGATAACCTTTTTCGATAAATTCTCGGCGTCTTGGATTACACATGTATATGTACACCTACTTACATATTATGTACGCTTAACGAGTACTTAAACTCGTTGCTCGGACACGCGGACGGGCCGTCGATACGATAACGGATAAACCGTTTGTTCGCAGTCGCGTACAAAATCCACAGAATCATGAATCTAAAATGGGGGTGATTAGAAACGAACGACGAACCGGTTCGCGGTTGGTGGTTCGAGCGAGGAGGAACGGAGAACGGGAATCGTGAAGTCGATTCAGGCGAAAAAGACAGGGCCTTATTGTCAGGGTTCCGAATTAACATGGGGGTCTTAGAAAAGACGTCCTCTCGCTCGGTGTCAGGTCGATCGAATAAAGGCATTTATTGTCGATTGTTCTTTCATGTTGCCAACGACTGCGCTCGGTTTCTCTCCAGAGTTCGAACGATATACCTACGTATTCGGCGTTGGGTTTCCCTTATGATCTGTTCGCTTCCTACTTGTATCGCGTAAACAGTCATCGGTTGCTAATAGCAGTTTATCGTTTCCCCCGCGACAAGCGCGATCCAGCGAACGAGACGCGACGCGATTCGAACCGACGGCGAGAAATTTTCCACTCGCGGTTTCGTTTCGTTGTTCTGTGTGTTTGCTGCGCTCTGCGCATACGTTCTTATAGATAGCTAATTACCGAGTCGACAATTACAATTCTTTTTTGTATCGTCTTCACGGACTCTCGCGAGCTGTACCATTTTCCATTGTAACTCGGGAGATTGCTTTTCGAGTCGACAACTCGCCGAAACGAGGCACACGCGTAACCACGACGGAAAGCGACGCACGTCGAAGCGCGTGCGAAAACCACGCGGCAACGACGCGGCGTTACGCGCGCTCTGCTCCTGTGGCAGGCTGAAATTTACGTGTACAGGTGGTCAAGGGTGTCTAAACGGATCTAGTATCTTCGTCTTCGAGAGTCGATTATCAGACAATGACCAGGACAACGATAACGGTGATTAGTCGTTTAATTAAATGTTGAATCTCGCTCCCGAATCTCTATGCGCGTCCGCTAACGTGTAATAATAATCATTTATTGTAACGGGCGTAAATTTGCTCAATATACATTCGAGTAACAGAAAGAACATATTATAATAAAATTAAACTTAATCATAATTAAGATTAAAACTAAAGGAAAGAAGAAAGAAGGAAGGGAAATAAGAATATATTATACATGTATTGAGATTAATGGAAAATGAAAGTTGTCCTTAAGCGTTTAATGTACAAAACTGAGAGATAAATCTTATAAACCTGAAACTTTAAATAAAAGCTTAAAGACGTATAGCAACAAGCGGAGTGCATCGCGACTATATACACACTTTGAATCATGTTGCTTTTTGCTGCGTTGCACCGCGTCATCCATTGGAAAAACGGACAGAACATAACAAACATGCACCTATACTCCAGCTTTCTTTTTCTCTTCGAGCATGGAATCACGCAGGGGACGTATCGTTGCTCGACGGAAACGAAATCTCGAAAGGTCGGAATGGAAAATTCAACTTGGCCAACGACGGCGACGACGGCCTTCGGGATTCTCGGTGGAATCAACGGCCATTAGAATACCGTGGCGGCCAAGAAGAAGAGGATGATTCGAGGAAAGGCACGCGTTAATGGCCACGGAGCTTTTGCACGCTTAAATAAATAACTGCATCGCTGTATCGTCGGCTGTGTAATTACGCGCGAGTCTCCTCCGCGTATACATATAATACACACGTATACGCAGCCCCACGTACATATTAGGCACGTGAATACGAATACAGATAACACGCGTGTGTGTGAGTGTATGTATATATATAGATACATACACACACACACACACACACACACGCGGATGGCGTGCATCCTACGAGTAATCGGTATAAAAAGAAACGAGAGAAAAAAAGAAGAAGGGGTGCGGATAAGGGTTCTACGGTGGGTATGCCGTTGTTTCGAAATTATAGCCTCCAAAAGATCGAGAAGGCTTCGGAAACGAGAAACCACGCGTCTCGAGTCGAAGAAGCGAGTTTTGCTTTTCGATTCCTGCGTGTTGTCCATCGTGAATAAATGGACCTCTAAGCTGGTGTTACATCCTTCGAACTAGAATCGTGCGTTGTTCTCGCCGGTTTCGGTGGTCGCGTCGATCGCACGAGAATAATAATTAGAGTGGCGAAAACTGCGCGATGAGAAACGTCACGGGAAGAAATTCCTCGATCCGAAGAATCGTAACGGATAGGCGAATCGCGACGGAGGAGAGAAGAAGCTGGCGAGCTCCGAGAGACCCGGAGGAGTCTCTCGGGCAGCGTACACACACACACACACACACACACACACATACACAGCCCCTCTTAGAGAGACCGATAATTAAGGTAATGGCTACTTTTCAAGTGGATTTCCGTGTGGCTCGATCCGCGCGCGGCCAGCCGGTCAGCCTCTCCTCCGCCGATTATGGTCACGAAGGGCGCTCGATCGGCTCGTTTCTGGCTTGGATCTCTCTCTCTCTTTCTCTCTTCCTCTCCGACTCTCTGCTTCCTCTACCTCATCGCCTTCCGTTTCGATTCAACTGCTCTGCCTGCCTGCCTGCCTGCCTGCCTGACTATCCTTTCGCTCGTCCTCCCTCGATAATCGTATATAGCTCGACTCGGACCATCGATCGCTATCTCGATAATGCCGACCGGTGAAAAAAAATGACGAGTATAGCTACGCGAGCTTTCTTTTCAAGATCGAACCTCGCGTTTCGATGCTCATGATGCGACCACGAACCAACGGAACTTTCAAAGGGTTTCAAGAGTGGGCGATTACGAGAGATATATCGAAGGGGGCGGATACGGTTTACCCCGTATCTTCGAAGTCTCCTCGATTTTCGAAGTTCACAGACAGTTTCGACCTAATCGAATCGAATCTCTACTCGGTTTCAATGAGGTGGACGAATGTCGTTATCGCTGTTCCAGATACCGCCGACAACGACGTGATATTTACGTTCGTCGGCTATCTTCTTGGCCGGACCCGTTTTTTGATTCCGTATCATGATCGCGGTTGCACGCGCATATCCAACGAGAACGATATCTGCCGACGATTCCGCGGGCGACACAACCGGGAATCGGCTCGAAACCCCCGCCGAATCAACATGTTTCTGCTGATGTCGCAAATAAAATAATGCACAACCATGGTAAATGGAAGCGGAGAAAAAAAGGAGGAAGAAGGAGTAGACCTCCGTAAGAAAACGTACACCGTGACCGGTAATCCGGTACAATGAATTTTCAAGAGTGTAATTTTCGTTGGCAACAATGGTTATACTAAGCGCGCCGTATAATATTACGGTCGTGGCGGCTCTAATTTTCCGCGCGTCGCGCTCGTGGGAATACCCAGATCGAGTCCTCGGGCGCGTACCATTCCTTTCCGGCGAGGAATCGACACCATCGCCAACCAACTACCCTGCGATTTGAACTTTACTTTGCCGGAATAAAAATTATTGACATTTTTTTTATATCTCCTGATAATATTCAACGAGTGGAATTGAAAAATACAAATTTTAGATTTAAGAATTCCCCGTTTCAAAAGTTATGCGTATGCATATAAAAGCAAGTATTTGTAGCGTACTTTATACGTTAGTTTTTCTATCAAAAATTCGTCCATTGAGAGGTGTGACTGGCTGTAAAGAGCTTTAAAAAAAATTACTTATTCAAAGAAAAATACTGATTCTGTGTTGGTATAGACGAATATCACGGGGTTCGTTCTACGAAAATCGAAAACAGAAGTCGAATTCCATCGATCGGGTCCTCGGAGCAGGAATCGTGGCGAGTATTTTAGCGGGTAGGACAGCTCATCTAATATTCCGAGACGAAACAGATTTTTCCTCCCGATAGCAGGGACACACGCGTTTCTTGTACGTAAGAAAGCCCCCGATCTGTATCAGGTTCGTTAAAATATACTTTTGCGTAACCTCCGGTAACCGAAAGGTTTTCGATGTTATCGGTCCTCTGTGTGCCCGTCTTTTCTCTGCTTTGTAATTTAATGTTCTGCAAGATTTTTCACGAAGGATAACGCGCGTCGTTGGTGAAGCAATGATCAGCGTCTCTCTCTCTCTCTCTCTCTCTCTCTCTCTCTCTCTCTCGACGACTGGGGTAACGTTCAACGTACATGTACGTCCCAAGATCGGTACCAAAAGCTAATCGGTAAAGGTTAAAGCAGTGATGGGCAACTCAGCTAGCATGGCAAACTCACTAGCGGGCATATGGCAGTGGTGGGTGAAATGTGCAAATGAGAGAATCACGACTCGTGACTCGTGATGTGTCCTGCTTCGCAACCCCTCCACAGGAGTCCGACATCTATCCTCGTATGTCCCGAAAAGTCTGCCAATTTGACGAGTGAGAAGGGAAATGGTGCGAAGGGTTTAGGCGCGTGTTTCACACGATCGAAATCTAGTGAACGTAGATTTTTTCTGGTTCGTAGCGGGAGTAGTAGTCTGTCGATGGTGGTGGTAACAATGGCGGTTGACGACCACGACCACGACCATGACCATGATCGCACATCGACCACGACGACGGCGACGACAATGACAACGAGAACGGCAACGGTGACGAGAGCAACGGTTCGATATCTGATTCGTGGCACCCACTTCGATTGGTCTGTCCTGTATTTTAACCCATCCCACTAGCGGAGCGTGGAACGCACCGATCGACCAATCGACGCTTTCACCGATAACGGAAGCCATAATTAGCGCGATTCGTTAATGAGTCGAACAACTGCGACAACGGTCTGAATGAAACTGCTCGTGAATGCTTAGTCGTAGTCGCGCCCGATGACGGATCGATCGACGTTCGCGATCGTCCTGCGATCGATTTCTCCCGTCGACAGATCTTGAAAGTTACATCCTCGTGCAACGTGTGCACTCACGCCGCTGTGTCGGGTTCGTAGTTTCGCGGATATACGTTAACAAAAAGGTCCGAAAAGTTTCCTGTTCGTTCGACGCGCGCTGTGTGCTACTGTTTAGTCGTATTCTATGGGCGAACGCTATCGAGATCGCCGAAAAATTAGCCTCGGCCACGTCCAGGAAATAACAAACGACGGAAGTTCGATCGGTTGAAAAGATTTTCGTTGATCGTGAAACGACGAAAAAGTCTAGAACGAGCCCTCACGCACATACTTATGTACATATTTTCCATTCGACCTTCCACCGATTCTCGTTCGTAAACAAAAAAAAAAAGAAAGGTTCACTCTTTTTCCCATTGAACGGCATCGTACGTGTACGAACAAACGAACGAACGAACAATTGTAATTTCTGCCGTCGTGCGATTTCACGTTTGTCGACACGACACGAGACGAGACGACACGTCTGGTTTCTGTTTCGAGATCTATTTTAAAACTCGCGGACCAACCGAGTCGCGAAACATTGGACGAATCTTTGTGGAAAGCCCGACGATACGACACGCGACGAACGTTTCTCTGCTCCTTCGAGTGTTTTCGGAAATATTCGATCTTGCGTTTTTACACGCGAATCAAAATATCTTGCAGCAACAGGAAGACTGCTGCTGAGAGATCGTTGTTGTTACCGTTAAGAAAAATACAGAATCACGAGGGACATATCGAAAAATAGTGAATCTCGAATTCGATTATGTTGCGCGAGTTGAATATATGTATATTCCATGGAAAAAGGGGGGAGGGGGCAGTGTTCTTGTTGCTGACAATAACGATCTATACAGAGCTTATTTTTCCGGGTTTGTTAGTAATCTCGTTACCTAAACAAAAAGGTTAAACGCGGAATGTCGCTCGAGGCGTACGACCTTAACCTTCGGGGTAAGTCGGAGTCGAGAGAGAGAGAGAGAGAGAGAGAGAGAGAGAGAGA